AAAAACAATACAGGACAAATGTACCGGTAGCAGAAGAGGCATTTCCAAAACAGCGAGACAATAAGATGAACTTTATTACTTGTAACTACATATTGAAGGCAGACCAATTTTAAATTTATACTGTATTTAGATCTTTCTCGAAATACATGATTGTAATCACAGTCTCTTTAATTAACTTCAATTGACATGAATTTTTAATCATTCTGTCATTCTTCTACTATAAATGTTTTGGTTGTTTCCATTGAGAACTGTTATAAGTATAAATTTAACAACTTAAAACTGGAAAAAATTAGTAGGTCGCTCTGTGTGGGAGCAACCACAACATATCTCACAATTAATAGCTAGCTGCCATTAATACTTTTTGTCAAATGCATGTCGCATATATGTGGCTTATATTTTTTACTTATTTGTGTAAAATCTATATGTCCACATATATGTCACATAACTGCACATAGGTTCCAAATTCTTACATTTGACACATGTGTGACATATATGTGATGCATGTGTGACATATATGTTACATGTATGTGACATATATGTCACATACATATGTAGCAGATATATGTAAAATATATGTGGTTTTGGTAAGGGTCTTCTCAATTCTTTTCTTCTTGTACTCTCTTGTTTTCTGTTTCTCTTTCAAACTTAGAATTCTCTTGTCCATTTTCTTTGCAAACTTTGAAGAATTGGAACCTGGAGATAGTTGTGTCTTCATAAAAGCCTAAAAGAAATTCACCTAGCTGTCTTAGTGAAACAATATTCTAAGTTATAATATAGTGATTTTTTGTTTGTTGGTTTGTTTGTTTGTTTTTTTTTTGTTTTTTTTTTTATGACCGATGATATGCGATAAGGTACTGGTAGTAGAACACTGGACACATAAGGCAATGTGTAATGTTCAATGGATCTCACAAATTGGGAAGTGTACAAAATGCTCATAATATTATATCTGCTCACCTCAGAAACATAAGAATGGCCTAAGTTGTTTTGGCCAAAAGTACATGCAACATTGAAGTCATTGCTTTTGCTAGATCCATAGTGACTGATCTTTGGGGCTTTGTTTCCTTTAGTGTTTTGAGTACTTCATTTGCCCAGCTTGACCCAAGGGGAGCTAGCTCCTTGGCATTTGAGCATAAACCTAAATTGAAGAAGCAAATGGTTTTTATTGATGAAAATTTATTCTTAAAGCTTGTGAAACTAAGAAAGAGGTTGATAGTCCCCTTACACTTAGAGCTTTATCCTTTGCAGTTATTGTTTAGAATACAATCATAAGCACTAACACTATTTTCTTAGAGTTACATTCCTCTACTACATGTAAAATGGTGAGAATTGGGAATTAGTGAGGAGTGAGCTGTACCACCATACATGTACACTGTACTTCTACGATCTTTTCCAGGGACTGCCTTAAGCTTTTGTCTGTCAGATCCTTGCCATGAGGAAGGCTTCTGTGTTTAAGATGCAGGATTTTTTAAGTAGCCACACCAGTTGTCACAGGAAGAATAGTCACCATAAGCATGGTGGGGCACGATAGACTTGCACACCTTCTTCATCATACTTATTCTGTTATAGTGCGTAACCAAAGCATCGCTGGAAACACTGTATCATCATATCTGTCAAGATTTTGTTTAGGGTCTTGATGCTCTATCTCTTTTAGCATGGACTACATCTGACCATTTTTCAACCTCAACATTTTTCCTCACTTTGCTAATGGTGGAGGAATCATCATACCCAACAAGAACAGATACAACTGCATTTTTTTCTCCACATACCATTCCCATATTATTCCTTTGCATGGAAATCATCCCATACCATTCCTATAGCCCATATCATTCCCATATATGGGAAAAGTATGGATTTCTACGAAATATGCATCTTTCCCATAGAAAAGACGGTAGAGAGGCAGTGTATGGCAACATATAGGTTTGATATGGTGTGTAGTGTCCCATATCAAATCCCCATGAAATCCATACATGGCCCATATATTTTCCCATATCAGACCCATTTGTGGGCCATATAAGTCCCATGATCAATTAGTTTGGTAAGGGGAGTAAAACGACAACAATAAAATTTTTGTGCCATAAAAAGTGAGGCCATTCAAACTACACCTAGGCATTATCTTTAAGTATTTTCTTTTGTGCATTTTCAACATACTCATATTCAAAATTAAAGGTGCATTTTTAAGTTTGCTTTCTTGTCAAATTTTGAATCACTTTTACCAATGGTGTAAGGTACTGTATGACTTTCCACTGTTCATGGTTCAAGTGTCATTACTGTAGCACTGATATCATAAGAACAGTTTCCACAAGTCTCTCTTTGCAGCAATAAAACTGTGAATTTAAAACATGTTAACAACTATTATTATTTTATTTTTTATTTTTAGTACTACATAACTGGTTAGTAATTTTGTTTTGACTAGATCAACACAAACATCAGCTTCCTTAGCTTTTGACAAGCCTTCCCAGTTGAGCCTGCAGTCGTGTATGTGAGGCTTTTTTGACTGTTTCACATGTTGCACACCTTTATAAAAGACATGGGTAAAGATCCTGGGTAACACTTTGAAGAGGAGGCAAATATGGGTGCTGTCTAGTTTAGTTTA